GGCTGATGGTAGTAGCACGCTAACGGTTCAGCCGTAGCATCTCCAACTCCTCAGAGTGAGCAGCAATTACCAGATCATCAGCATACGTAACATGGTTGACCAATCGGGAGTCATCCCTTGACTGTACCCGTGCATAAATCTGTACCAGATGGAAATTCCCCTGGTACAGCCATGGAAAGCATCTTGAACTAAGTGGTCAGATGATAAATAGTTGAAGGGCTGTTACACCCCAAGGTGAACAGGAAATAGATCTGACTCCCGCAAACGCAGCTTCAACCAGGCCTGCCCACCATCATGATGGTCCTTAATGATTGTGAACAGAGGGTCAGGAACCCCAAAAGCAGAAAGAATAATTCAGCCCTGGGCAATTGATGGTATTAAAGGCCTAGACCAGGTCAATAAAGCATATATATAGGTCATGTTGCAATGTCCTACACTTCTGCAGTAGTAGATGGACAGAGAAGATGGAGTCCGTGCAGGAACGAACCCGTCTGAAACCACATCGGAGGGTCTTAAAGCCTCTGCTCAGTGTGCCCGGCAAGGCGATGTTGAATAATTGTTTCCATGACCTTTCTCAGCAGGGAGATGCAACCTGAGGAGGGAGATACCCCAGTCGTTATTGCAATCAGTGTGGTCCACCTTTATAAAATGGTATCCACCAGGCCACCCTTTCAATCCTGTGGAACCTGACTTATGGACCAGACCGTTGTAATTATGTCAAAGAGAGAAGTGTGCACAAAAACACCACCCTCCCTCAGGGATTTTCTTGAGATGTCATCTCTGCCCAGCGCTTACCTCATCTCAGACTCTGTTATCACTGCTTGTACTTCCTGAACAGAAGGCACATCAGCCAACCACTCATAAGCAGTCACTACTTCTGCCAATATTTGAGGCACAGTATCGCCAGTAGGGTCAACTCCACATTTCCCCATGAAGTTATTTGAGCTGAGCAGTTTCCTCTCCCTCAAGATCTCACAGAAATGCTCAGTAAACCTGCAAACCTGATCCTGAGGGTCGAAGATCGGATTACTGTTTTTTTCCCTTCGGGCTGGTATTGTGTTGTTCTGTAAGTTACTTTTTGGATGGAATTAAAGAGCAATTTGTGAGCACACGCTACTTAGGCAGTTTCCATCTCCTCAAAAACCCACAACCACCACTTATCCCGGCAGCGCTGCACAGTTTTTCGAAACCTCGAGCGAAGTCTGCGGTAAGCCTCCTCATCTCAGACGTGGGATGTTGTAGACCGTGGGAGTGGGCTTGACGCTTTCTCTCAGCTTGCCAGAATATCTCTTCTATCAGCAAGGGTCTCTGGGAAGGTCCGGATTGCATACAGCCATTTCACCTGCATGAGTTACAGTCCTGAACGTTAACCATTTCCTCTCAATATCAGAAGGGGGGGATGAGCTAATCCCAACTGCAAGCAATTATGAAATCCTCAATTTGGAAGTATTGGAGGGACAAATTACATATGACAAGTTGATGAGTCTACATTCGTTGTTCCGTCACTATATAGTCCAGCAGATATTTTGCTTGGACTAGCCATACATCCATGTTGTTGTGTGGATGCGCCAATGCCGGAATAGCATGTTGGTGATTACAAGCCCACGAGCTACACAGAAGTCTAGCAACCTCCTACCATTGTTATTGAGCTCATCTGGCACATTCTTCCAATCACTTGGGCCCAGTTGCCTGTGTCATAATGTAACCTAAGAGGTGGGGGGGTACATTCCCCTGGCTCAGCCAGATAGAGTTTGGCCAGATGTTATTGACTCCTTTTCTCCCCTGGGGCATCCAGCATAAGCGCAATTGGGAGTTTTAACTATTGTTATTGGAAAAGTCAGTGCAAGGTTACCAACCCCTCGCAACACACAAATCAAACTACTGTACATACACACACATACACACAGAAAATACACACCCCCTACTCACACTCACGCCAGCCTTCGCTCAACCTCACCACTCACTCACTAATCACCCCGACTGACACTTCAAACTCACTGTGCACACACTCGCACTATACTCCACCTCACATTCAAATCACTAACTTTACACCACCCACTAAATTTACCACACTACTGTACGCTATACACTACCCCACACTACACTGTACCCACTGTACCCACACACTACAGAAGTGTGTGGTAAGTATTTCCAGGCAGACTTCGCTTTGCGCTCATGATGCGTTCGTGGATAAGTGAGCGCTAATCAAATCGGTACTAAAAGTGGTCATTATACCATTGTATATGTGGGGATGCGTTCCAAACAGCGGTTTTGCTTTTGTATGAGCAATGAGGGGGAGCAATGAGGGTTTCATTGGGATATCAGTAATAGCGCTATTAATAATACTGCTGTAAACATTATTTTATACATATAATGTATTATAACATAAATAATTATGCACTGTACTTACAGTGGATTCTACCGTACTCCTACATGGCAGCGGTGGGAGACAAGGTTGTAGGAGCTGCTGTGCTCCAAATCCGGGTCATTCTCAGTGGCGAACGCCCAGGACCTTTGCGACCTTAGTGATGCCCTCAGTTACTGAATATGTGAAAAAGAGCTTTATAGCTCATCGGATTTTTCCAGTATAAATACATATTCTGATTCTAAATGTCTGTGGTTCGGCTTATTTTATATGGAGCCTGAGGCTATATCCTGGTCTCGTGAGTTCTCACCTGTCAAACCATAAAAAAATGTATTAATTGTGACTACTAATCGTGATAATCTAATTGTGGGAGGTGGGGGTCTGGTCGGCTCAACGTTCGTCGCTGTTATTGGCTGCGTGAATGTTTCCTTGACCAGCGTGGCTTGTTCTCACTCATGAGCGCTTTTTATGTTTAGATTTTCTGAATATTTTGAGTAAAACATTTCTCCAGGACAAAGAGCGCTGCTCCGACAAAACCAGCGAGCTACGGGGCCACAGCTAAGCGAGGTCTGTCTGGAAATATAAAAAATACACGCACACAAATAGACAAAGTTGCACGCTAACAAAACGCGTGAACAAAAACATGCGCTAAAAGTCAAACGCACACGAACACAAAGATAGACAAGCACACCCACTGGCATTTACTGCTATAATGAGCCAAGAATGTCTGTGTCCCGCGCGTGACGTCACTCCACGTCGGCCAGCCCCCCTCAGGAATACTCAGGAACAGGTGACGTCACCACACATCGAACAGCCCCCCACATTAATAATCATGAAGAGGTGACGTCTTCCAAATGGACACCCCCGTCATTAAAATTAATTAGCGGGTGACGTCACTCCACATGGGGGGGCGAGGCGCCTCCCCCCCCCTCCTCGGCGTCAAATGACAACCCTCACTACAAAGGCAGAAGAACCCTCACGTCACGTGATCTCCGTAACGCTGTTGAGGCATAGAAGTTAAAAGGACGTCATGATGAACAAGGGATTATAACCTTTAAATGTCACCGCGGCTTTACAAATTGCACACGAATTGATGCAATGAATATATCACGTCGCGGTCTGATTTTCACTTGCAAGTTTCAGATTAACTGAAATACACCCGTCCTTGGACGGGCAAAAGGCTAGTACACAATAACCGCTGTTCTCCACGAAGTGACGGTGACGTCAACACGGCGCTTGTACCAGGCTAGGTGCACTTTGAGGCCACGTGAAGAAGTGTTGAAGGTTCGCTGGCAGGAGGTCACGGGACAGACCCAGGTGCCATAGGTTGACTGCAGTGCCAGGCTAGGTGCAGGAGGTCAAGGAACAGACCCAAGTGCCATGGGTTGACCGCTGTGCCAGGCAAGGTGCAGGAGGAGGACACAGGACAGACCCAGGTGCCATGGGTTGGCTGCTGTGCCAGGCTAGGTGCAGGAGGAGGTCACATGACAGACTCAGGTGCTACGGATTCGCTGCTGTGCCAGGCTAGGTGCAGGAGGTCAAGGGATAGACCCAGGTTATGGGCAGATTGCACCCCCTGTGCGTCCTACTGCTCCAACTTGCTCCGGGCTCCTCTGCCCTCCGCTGTTGTTGGAGGGCGACTGCCCAGGAGCGTCCTTCAACGAGTCTCCTCCACACACAAGGATACACAGACCCTCCCGTATAGCCTGTAGAAGACTGTTGGGGTCAAGTGCTGTTTGCGAGCACCTATGAAGGCCGGCACGGCGCACGAGGAGTTGGTGGTGGGTGGCCAGCACCACGCCCGGCCGCCTTTGTCTTCCTAATGGTACTTATTTGATGCTGAGTCAACCTAAAGGATGGCCAGGATCAGTTCAGCTAATCTTCTCTGGCGATGTTTACACAAGGCACCTACATACAATGGGACTAAAATGTATACAGTATATATTCACCGTAGATAGAATAGAACCAAGGTGGCTCGTAGCGGTGTTGTTGTGACCATGCCGCCTTTATATTGTACAGCGATTGGTGGGGCAGATCCCTATAACTTATTCTATTTGTGGTGAGGCAATGGCTGGGGGTGAGGCAATGGCTGGGGGCTGGTGAGGCGTGGTTCGAGGTGAGCCTCACGGGGAGAGGGCGGGGAGGGTGGGGGAGGGTGGGGGCGCGTGGCCTCGCGCCGAGGTTGGTCGCGCGCCGTTAGTTTCCTGCCCTTTTTATTCACCCCCACCCGCTATCCCCCCCCCTTGCTATCCCTCACCCCCGCCCTGCTATCCCCCCCCCCGTCTACACCCCGCCCTGCTATCACCCACCCCCCGCCCCCACCCTGCTATCCTCCCACCCCACCCCCGCTATCCCCCCCACCCCGCCCTGCTGTCACCCACCCCGCCCTGCTGTCACCCACCCCCACCCCGCTATCCCCCCACCCCGCCCTGCCCCGCTATCCCCCACCCCCAGTCTGCTATCCCCCACCCCGCCCTGCCATTCCCCCACCCCCACTCCCGCTATTCCCCCACCCCGCCCTGCCCCGCTATCCCTCACCCCGCCCTCCAACCCCCCCCCCGCCCCGCCCTGCTATCCCCCCCACCCCCGCCATCCCCCCGCCCCCCCCCCCCCCCCCCCTGCTACCCCCCCACCCCCCGCGTGCGCACGAGCGCGGCTGCTCCTCGGTTCGCACGCCTCGCGGTGTTTAGCGCTCAAGCGCTGTCACAGTCTCTCCTCGCCCGCGGTAGAATTCGCGTAGCCTCAAAAAGAGTTGCAATTTTATAAAATAAACATTTCTAATAATAACAGCAGCAGCAGTAGCAGCAGCAGCGACAAACCCGTTCGTGATAGTTATGCTCACGACGACAACGGAGATGGTCTCGCTGGCGTGTAAAAGTTGTTCGCGGGAGCAATGTTAGCGGCAAAGATATTTCTCGACGCCTGAGGTAAAAAAATAAAGTGTGCCTTTTTAAAAAAAAAAAACATCGTACGTTTGTGGTAAATGTTACTGATTTTTTTTGCGCGTTTAAATGCAAAGTTAATAAATGTTTGTATTCGTTAAATGCATGGATCGTGAGAACAATGTTAGCATCGTCGCGATTGTATATAAAGATTTTAAATATCCCTCAGTGCACGTGTTACATACGAGGCATTCGAACGGTATACGATACAGTACTGTACGGACGCTTTGCGTGTAGATCATGTATATTTTTTGCTTTAAAAGTAACTGAATAATGTATCACAATTTATTTAAAAATATATGGTATGAGGTGATTTCAATGAATATTTTATACGCGCCTGAAGTAATTAACATACTGTGCATTTTAAACCTAACGGGACTTTAGGTAAGGCGTGCACTTTTATTTTCGGGGTTATTTTAAACATTTGCCTCGAAAGTAATTTGAACAAGTGTGACTTATTTATATTCACACTCCAGTAATATACTTTGAGTTTCGCCGAATACGAGTTGGCGGACATGTCGATATATATCAACGGACGGTCCTTTATTTAACCAGGTAAGAGACCATTGATATCTTGTGATTAACATCCTTTATTTAACCGAGAGACAACCCTAGTTCATTATATATTGTGATCAACATAGTTTATTTAACTAGGTAAGAGCCCATCGATATTCGCGGTTTCTTGTGACGTCCATATCTTGTTTTTAAGTCCACCGAGGTTAATTATCTCTTGTGGTTGGTGTCCTTTACTTAAACCAGGTAAAAGAAGCCCTCTTGAGAATCATCACCTCCTGTGATTTACGTCATTTAACCAGGAGAAAGGCTCCATGAGATTATCCCACTGTGACTGACATTATTTTACCAGGAGCGCCCATTGAGATTCGTTCTCAGGGTCGGCATCCAATATTTGACCAGCTATGAACCCCATCGAGATCCCACCGTCTTGCGTGTTTGGGACATAGTCCCTTTGCGTATGGACTTGCACACAGTATGTTGAATTTCCGCAAAGTGATGGTCGTTTAAAAAAAAATCTACCCCACTGAAGGACCATGCAATAACAAACAAACGTGTCCGTAGTAATAACGACACAGTCATTGTTGCCGTATGGAAAAAACTGGGCTCTTTCATGTGAATGTGGATTTTTCAAAGATTTTCACTCAAACGTGTTAGCAATTTAAGATGCTGCGCTGTATCTTCGGGATAGCAAACAAGATATGTTTATGACTTTTTGGTCAAGCATAATATCACTGTCTAGTTTATTACATAATGGGTTAACAGGTAATTTGATTATATGGATATAAATAGGAATGATGCAATAAAATAGGAGAATACAGTCATATTTTATTGGGTGCGTTATATATGTATCAAATATGAAATAGCATTTGTCAACGAAGGACTCACTTGAGTCACGAGACTTTTTCAGTCCTTTATTATACTTCCGGGATCTTTGGCAAGTGCGTTTAATGAGTGCTTTATGTGGGGGGGAAAAAAACAGTACCCGCAGAAAAACCCACCACGCATATGTGGGTATAACACTAAAGTTCCATACAGATGGGTGCACAAACCCACTTGCTGCACTGCCATCTCCTGGCCACATTGCACTGACGTTGGTTTGTGAGTCTCGGATTTCGGTGGGCTTCACCAAGCCTTGTCACCAAAGTGCTGGAAAGCAGGCGTGCACTGTCACACCAGTTTACATTTTTATACCAAAAATGTGTTTTTGTTGTAGAATATTGTGGGGATCAAATCCTGTTCAGGGGTCGGTTCTCAAAATGAATATCTGAATGATGATGATCATCATCATGATGATCACTCCGGGGTCGGTAAAATTAGCGACATCACTTCGTGGGATGTCAATGGTGGTCATCCTATAGAGAAACCTGAGCCAGCCATATAAAATGTGAAACATATACACCCAGCCCATGGCTTGAATCCAGTACCTCAGCATTGCTTGCTGAGCATTGCAGTGTTTTCCAACATGGGCATCATAAGGACTCCTTGAGTGAGAGAGAAATAAGTTGTCATCCTATGCAGAGACTTAACGCCACCATAATAATGTGGAATTTCTACTGTGCTCATTGCTCCACCCCATATTTGTTTGAGCAGGGAGACTTGGATAACATCCACACTGTAAACTCCAGTGCCCTCAAAAAGTAATTAATCAGACTCAGTGTACATTAATCACTGGGAAGGCAGCGAGTGTGTGAGTGGTTTGGCCACCCTCTAGGTCTACTCAGATGACACATTCGAGTGGCACTCTCTCATCAGTGCCCAGGGTCCCCGCCACTGAGTCGTGACCACGGATTTAACCTCCAACTATCAACCTCGCGGCTGGCCGCTCGCCACCTGCTGTCTCAAGCAACATCTCCCCTGGGTGGTGATGCTTAATTTTAGAGGCGAGTAGTCAGCACTGTATGCGTGTGCATGCGACTGTGCGATGCTGTGTAAATTCATCACTTGTACAATTAGTGGAGGGGAGTAATTTGTTGCAAGTAACTTTGTGTTATTGTAATCAAATAACATTTAGCTCGTGCGTGTTAATGTTATACATATACACTGTATATGCACGGGGTACAGCGTTATATGAAAATTACCACGTTTTCCCCAACAGACCTCTGAACAATTATGTTAGCACCTATTACGGTTGCCAAGATAGATGAGTAGTTTGATCTGCACCACAGCCAGCGCTAATGTTTACACGATGCCTCAGATGCTTATTTAGAGGTTGAGAAACGCCAAAGACCGTGGAGCACAATAGGTACATGTGGCACTGGTGTTATTGCGTTAAATTCATCCTATTATCTGTGCTTTGCCTCACATACTTCTTGTGTGAGTGGCCTCTTGGAGGTGCTAAATACTTTTATCTGGACTTCGCAGATAAGGGGGGTCAACTTGGAAATGGTGGAAAATTCTTGTTATGATCTGCGGATGAGTAGTTACTCGAAATGGTTTCTTAAAAGCACTGAATTCTTCGTTGAAGCCATGGCTTTTCTCGGATAAGAAAAGTAACCTAGAAATGGTGCCAAGTTCGTCTGATTATTTGCATTTATCTGTGGACAGGAAATGCATGGCAACAATAGGATCCACCAATAGCATCCATCCATAAAACCATGGACAAACAAAGCAAACTTGAATACGTACAAATGAATACAATATAAAAGAGATCCTAATATTGTCATACATTGTTGGGGCTAGTGCTGTTAGCGATCACCTATCTCTCAAGTTCTTAAATTAATAACTGGCACAGGGGCGCTGTCTTCTACTTAGTTTAAACAGCAATGGGCAATTTCAGATACTGTTTGCCACATATTATCCGTGGGAGGAATTCATACTCAGGTTACTGGATTATTGAGTGCTTGAACTACTGCACCACATACACAATAACAAAGATCCTCAATATAGTCTTGAACAGACTGTTGAAGCAAGTGATCTGAGGGAGCACCTATGAAAGCCGACATGGGTGGGTGACCAGGACTACGCCCGGCCGCCTTTGTCTCCCCACTACTGATGTTTACACACCAGACCAGGTACTCATTTAAGGTTGAGTCAACTTAGGGGAGGCCCAAGACCGGTTCACATTCACCTATTCGTCACCGACATTGGCTGTGAATGGGAATTGAACGCGGGTCGTGGCGCAGTGCGCCACCATTCCCCACAATACACTATTCGCATATGCAGACAGAAATATGTGCCCGCACACACACACGCACACAAAGACTCCAAAGATCTTTTATTTACATGAAATGTTGAGTATCTATTGCGATCATAACAGTGCATGAGACGGCAGTGTGACAAGAACCACGAATGGCCACCAGTGTCTTGCCAATGTTTACGCACAACACCAGGCACTTTATTTAAAGAAGAGTCGACCTATGTCAAGCTCAGGGAAGGTTTTGATGCCATTTGGTACTACTCGGGTCGCAAGGTTTACATTGCAGTCAAGAGGTTGTCGCATCCGATGCTGTTGAGGCTGTTGCACCACCGTTGCTAACATATAACCCACATATACAAACATCTCTTGTATAGCCTTTGACAGATTGTTGGGGCTAGTGCTGTTTGCAAACTCATGTGAAGGCCGAAAAGGCGAATGGTAGCCAGTTTCATGCCGGTAATTGGTTTAAAAAAATGTTACCTTTTATACACGTCTCGCAATGAACATACAATTTTACCTTTTTTAATTGAGACATGGAGCTGCCCTGATATAATGATTAGCAAGGTGGACTTGCCACCGCACATTTCATATTTTGGCACGGCAGTGGAAACAATGGGCATGTTTTATAATTCCCTTATCCCCTTGTCAATACATAAACATACAGTAAATGGTTACACCAGTCAGTTAATCCTCATAGTTTGTGTGTGGGATAAAGTGTCGAGGACAGTACAGGGCACCTCTTCCACAAACATCGAGCCCTTGTGAAATAGACGACTACCTACCCTCTCGAACTCCCTCTGGTGGAGGCACTTTCGTTTGGCTGTGACGTAGGCAATTGCAGGGCTGCATCTTTACCTTTCAAACGGAGAATTGAGGGCACCCAAACAACTTAGGCCTTTCCGTTGGAACAATGTAGCGGCTGCCTCTGAAACAAATCAGTTGCACGCACTGTGCGTGTTGTACGTTCACGCTTACCAATCAGCGCTCTCATGACTAAATTGCCACTGCAATCGATTATCGTTTCATGACTAATAGATTCTGAAACGATTATTTGTTTAAAGATGATCGTTTAATAACTCTAATATATCTTATTTGGTTATTTCGGTAAAGTCACGTAGAATGAGAATAAAATAATAAATTGATAAAATAAAATAACACAATAATATTCTCACGACGTTTCGGCCACAACACAAGCGGCCTTCATCAGGTGAAGGGACGAGACTGTCTGGAGGACAGCGCTGGAGTGAAAAAGCCTTAAAGAGAAAATATATGAGCAACGATCCAGGCAATGGCCCAATGGCCCATCTTCACAGCACATCTAATATACACACGC